GCCCATACTTGTTCCGCTCCAAGATGTTCGGCTGTTCCAATACATTGTGGTTGCAACGATTTTTCTACTGCAATTAGTACACCACCCCAGCCTTTCTTCTTGACTCGCTGATATTTTTCAGTGTCCGCAGATCTGTCACAGCGAAACACTTCGAAATTTTGTGGAAAAAATTCAGAAGAGGCGACATCAGGACTGAGGTGTGATTCGCTCAACATGTAAAAAAGGAAAGACGACGCAAGCACTTCAGCAAGAAAGTTTATCGCTTTTTCTTTATCTTTGATGCCATTCATATTATTGCAATACATTGCAGCTTCATCCAACATTGGAACTACATTATTGAATAGATGTTGTTGATGTGGCTGCTGAATGTGAAATGATGTGGCAAAAAGTGGATTTAAACAGAATGATGAGGTGGAGAAGGCTGGGTTTAACTGTGATAAAATGGCTGAGGTTGTGCATACATTAGCATTTGTGGTGGTAGATGTTGTGGCATTTGCATTGGAATTTGTGATGGATGATGATGCATTTGTTGCAAACCTGGTATCACATACGGCGGATGGAAAAATGGTTGCTGCAGAAAAGGAGCAGGTTGCTGCCACTGACTTAGCCGTTGGCTATACACATTTTGATTTTGAAATCTCCGATTGTGATTGTATGGACGAGAGAAATTTTCAAAACGATGATTTCTGTTGGAATATCGTGTCTTTCGCTGATTGTCATTTTGCTCTCGTTGAAAATGTGCATTTGGTTTGCCTTTGGTTTGCCGATTGTTGTTGTTATCAGAATTATGTTGTGTTGTTCGTTTTTTTTCGGCGTTTTGTTTATTTTTCTTCTGAGCTGTACCATCAGATTGCTTTTTCACTGGGTGAATGAATGGTTTCACGATGTAATTTGAATCCCAATCATCCAAGGTGATGATCTTGTTGCAAACTTCATGGGACAAAGTTGAAATTTTGAAAGATGAAAAATTTCTTGAGTTACCTTTGAACCGTTTGTTTGGAATTTTCTCAACAGAAAAGGCATCAGTGTGAATTTCAGAGTTGGCAATGATAATGGCAGTTACATCATCGGAGGTAGCATCTTTCGGCAAACGAGAAACATGAATTGAATAAATACCATTTATCGGTGTGATTTTTTGTGGCCCCGGTGTTTTTTTCGGATTGGTGTTTTTGTTGTCACTATGACTAGCTGAAGATGATGCACCTAAATCAATTAAACCATTATTCAATTTGTTTTGTATCGATTTGTTGACAGATTTAACGATTTCTTCACTCAATCGCTGAATGGATACTTCTCTGTGCTCCACTTCAGTGGTTATCTTGTTAAACTTAGTTGCACAGCAATGACATGTTATTCCGAATATTGAATCAGCGCTGAACATTTGAAGAAATTCGGAATATTTGCTGGGTTTGTCCGATAATATCTTCCATTCGAAAGTACCATCACTTCTTACAGTTTTAGACATCAGTTCAAACGCATGCAATAACTCCTTCGTTCTCAATTCATCAAGCTGGCGTAGACACTCAACAAATATTTTTTTACCACAAAACCGGCAATTCAGAGACCATCCATAATATCTGGATCGACACTGCGCCTTCTTGACAGTTCTCATATAAATGAGCCCAGAAGCGCCAACTGGTGCAAGAACATGTAATAGAACCGTTGTATACCAATAGTATTAAAAGCTTACACGTTGGGTATACTGTTATTGCCTGTTTTGAATAGTAGTTCTTTCACATAAAAACATCAAAATCTGCTTGCATTACGCGCTACTGATATCTCTCTTATTCCATTGATATTTTTTCCAAAGGAGAAAAAAAATATTTCAAGCCTCAATTGCACAGCATATCACTATTAGAATCATTGTGTCAACATGAATCAACCAATAAACAAACCAAAACAAACACAAACCAAAACAAACACAAACCACACAATGAAATACCACGTTTGTATAAATATAGCAATCACTTGAAGAGAAAAACTCAAAAAAACATGTTTCAATAAAAAACAATATTCTAATATTTTAGAAAATATAAAATTAAATGAAAT